TCTTATACTGTTAGGGAGCGTGTTATTTTATTAATTAAATATTTGGATTCAATACCGAACGCAGCCGCGTATATATACGCTCCGGTGATAGTGACCAGGAAAATTGAGCGTATATATACGCTTATGATGCAAATGGGTTAAGCTTGCCTTATGTCGCAACGATTGCCGGTTCACCGTGGTCTCAGAATCGCGTCGAACGCGATAATACGTTGATCCAAACGAATTCGAACGTGTCAGAATTTTTCAACGATTTTTCACGATTTTTCACAATTTCTCATGATTTTTCACGATTTTTCACATATCGGTTTCCTTAGATTCAACTCATTATAGCAATGTCTCTCTAATTGACGCTCAGATTGTCCACAGAAATGGACAATTTGGGAATAGCAGAATACGATCATTCGAGTCTTGCGGTTCGTTTCTTATAGTTACGAATTGTCAACAACTATAAAAGACGAGCTACAAATTATTAATATATTATTATTGCGTAAATGTATTAAGCATAAAAATTATGTTGCATAAATGTTATTATGCATAAAATATACGATTTGATATTGATATACGATTATTCATAACAATCGCCATCCTAATAAGCATTTTTTTGGGAAGAAATATATACACGTATCGCGATATACAGTAATGTCTCCCTAACTGACGCTCAGATTGTGCACAAAAATGGACAATTTGGGAAGAGGAGCTGCCTTGCAGCTCGTTGTTATAGTTGTTGACAATTCGTGACTATAAAAACGAACCGCAAGGATCGAATAATCGTCTCTCTTCTCCCTAAATTGTCCATTTTTGTGGACGATCCGTGCGTCAATTAGAGAGACATTACTGTATAGTTTTTCCTTCACGATATTCCGAGATTTAAAGAACTAATGGCGAGACGTTAACATAGAGATATTAAACTGGATACAACGATTCTACGCAGAGACGATAGATTTTAGTAAAGTACGCTTAGAATATTTTACAATTTAACACTTTGACCGCGCGCCGTGCCAACAATCTCAAAAATGTATAATAAAATTCAAGCATTTCATCCAGTTTTGAATTAAATTAAAATTTAATGAAACTTAAAATTATATTTATTCGATAATAAGATTAAATTAAAGTTCAATTAAAATTAGATAAAAATAAAAATTTGAAAACTGTAGTAGTACGACATTGATTAATTTTTCAATATTCGTAGGTTTTGCGGATAGATAATGAAATGAAGAAAATGCGTTAGATTAGGAGAATAATGAAGATATTAAACTGGATACGACGATTCTACGCAGAGACGATAAATTTTAGTAAAGTATGCTTAGAATATTTTACAATTTAACATTTTGACCGCGCGCCGTGCCAACAATCTCAGAAATGTATAATAAAATTCAAGCATTTCATCTAGCTGAATTAAATTAAAATTTAATGAAACTTAAAATTATATTTAGTCGATAATAAGATTAAATTAAAATTCAATTAAAATTAGATAAAAATAAAAATTTGAAAATTATAGTAGTACGACATCGATTAATTTTTCAATATTCGTAGGTTTTGCGGATAGATAATGAAATGAAGAAAATGCGTTAGATTAGGAGAATAATGAATTTTCAAGTCTAAGGAAATAATTCCGTTATCCACGTACCGCCCGCGGTTGAAAAACGATCGTTCCGTCGTTGAAGCTCGAGTATATTCTTATGCTTATTTTCATGCACGGTGGAGTATTCGGTAAGCGCGGATCGCGCTAAATATAATTTCCGCGCGGTGCATGACGTCGCGAGATCGTTTCAATCATCGTGATATTTAATATCGATGCTCCGGGATAATCCGTTTCGCTTTAACATCGAATTCCACGAATCAGCTTGTCCTGGTCATCGCCGATCCATTTCCTACGATTTGTCATAAATCCTACGATGGTCTTAACTAGTCCGAGTGTTTTATGAATTTATGACAAACACGTGATCGCACATAATGGCCAGGTTTCGACGCACCTGCAAGAAAATATTTGCCCGTTATGCGGTTAACAGGCAGGACTTCTCCGGGAGAAACTTTTCCATCGTCGCGGAAGCGGTCGGCCGTTTATCAGCGGTTATCTCTGCAGTGCGGAATCGTTTCGACTGCGGAATAATTTCGCGAGCCGTAATTCGGATTACGCTCGACGTGTGCATCACTCGGCGCGAACGCATTCTCACGCGGCTGTCGCGTGGACAGTGACGTTTAGGTTGTTCGCCACGCAACGCCCACGCGACACGGCGATCGCGGTTCACCGGCAGTTGCTTCGACCTTGGCATTGATAGTTTCAGCCGTGCCTCGATGCCGCGGTTGACTCATTCTTTCCTGTATTGCCGGTAATGTTCCATTTAGATCGTGTTACCGAAAAATATTCCGTCGCACACGATTTACCGTCGCAATCTTGCTGCGGAGAACCGCGTACATCTGACCGACGGAGGCGCAAAGTTTACTTTATCATTAGGCGAAAACATTCCGTCCTTCGTACGCATTAACCCTTTGCGGTCGGAGCCATTTTAACTTGAAATCTAAAATACCTTTTCCGACCTATATTATTTCCATCTTATGTGACTTGAAACTATTGAATTTTTCTACTCATGCAACAGTAACACTGTTTAGTAGTTTTTTTAAAAAATATAAATAAATTTGATAACATTAAAATTATTTTGAAACGTGATCTCGTCAAATTTGACAGTTTTCAACATGATAAACATGGCCTCGCGTTTAATGGGTTTCAGTGGTGAGGGTGCGTCAAACTTAAAACCGAGAAATACTATCTTCAAATAGAGGTTCCAAGCTTTGATTTAAAAAACAAGTGAACTTATCATTCAAAGTTGGCTAATTTTAATCCAACGTTTTCCTATGCTATAATTTTTTTGAGCCGCACAATTAAGAAATAAATAATTCAAAAGTACTTCAATGAAATAATTGTCGGAAATATAATAAAATATTCTAAATTTTCGATTAATAACATTTAATAAATTCGGTATTGCGAGTATACGATTGCACTTCGTAGAAATGTTTAAAAGTATGGACTATAAATGTTTAAAAATATAAAGAGTTAAAGGAACAGTTGTCTGACTAACCTCTCTTTAATTCCGCGGAATAACGTAGTTGTAGAAAGAGCTTTAAATGAACGTGTAAGTTCCCCAAAGGCTGATTTTGTTTCGACCAATGCAGAAGAGTTCGAAATAAACATGAACTTCTGAACCCGCGTTCCTGGAATGTCAAACCGGAATGGTCTCTGGCATCATCGAAGAATTTTTCAATAACATTCATAGAGTAAACAAATTATTTATATCTCGTGATAAAACGTTGTCAAAAAAAGAAACAAAAAAAAACAGATCTGTTTCTCGCCTAACAGCATCGCTAGAAAGTGAGGAAGTTGAAGCAGAGGTTAAATTGCGAACAGGGTTATCAGAATAGAGTCATTAGAGGTCTTGCAATCTCAGTTCATTTAGACATCGATTAGAAAGTTCAGCATATCCATCCGATAACTTCGTGTTTTTAGTATCGTGTATCTTAGCGGTTCTCTTCGTTTCAACGAAGGAAAATGTTCGTAATTACGACGCACCAATTGACAGCGTGCCTCCCCATAATTCAAGCGATCGTATCTACCGATAACTGTTCATTTTGTTTGTCTATACTTCCGCTATCAGTCTGCACGCATCGTTCGAAGACCTTTCGCTGCGAGTACAAATGTATTTGGGTTATTCCATTGACCGTGGAATCAGTATTGGTTCAAGGAATTATCGCGGTCAGTTTTTCCTTGTACGAGTCTCGTTTTATTTCTTTACTTCTAGGCTGTCGACCTTATTCGACGATACGATTAGGTCGCATACGTTGTGTTGTCGGCGGGCTGGAAATATTCTTTTTTTTTACTTTATATATATATATATATATATATATATATTATATAATATTATATTATTATATTATATATAATAATATTTTATATATTAATATTATATTTATATTATTATATATATAATTATAAATAAATATATATATATATATATATATATAT